TTACCGCTCTAAGATTAGCAGTTAAAATGTGAAAAATTCACCTTTGCCCTTTTCCTTAGCACCCATTTTGGAAAATGTCTTCCCGTCAAACTGGGTTATGCAATTGTGCTTTTGCGCAAATTACGACTAAGGTGGCACAAAATGTTTACGCGGGGTCAAAACCCCGCTCCTCTGACGTGCATTTGCAAGCACACGACCCTATCCAGGTCTCGCCTTCTCCGGGTGGGTTCCACTCACCTCGTCACTACGCAGCACTCTTCCAGCATTCGCCCTACTTCACCTGCCTCTATCTGCAGTCTCGTCTGTTTCTTTAGTTGATCTGCTTTAGAAGTTGTTGGTACGGAAAATATGCCAGAAAATATCCTAAATCATATTTTTTAGTAAAAAAGGATTTAAAGTTGTTGGAAGCTAAGCATGATTTCTTGCACGTTCTTGATTGATTCCATTTTGATGCAACTAAAAACTCTGCAAAAGCGATAGCTACTTTTCTCCTCCGTTGGAAGCATAAACAATGAGGTTGTTAAATTGTAAACCAGGTCAACTATTTTTTGGCACTTTTTCTTCAGTTCTACCAAAGCATCTTAAGGCGAATAAGTTGTCGAAACCCAAACAAACGACGTTTGGCTTCTTGTGTTTATCTGTAGTCAAGTAGACTGTTCGCCGTGGTGTTTTGTTCGCTCTCAAATAGCATACACGCTCACCTTTTTGGGAGTCCTTTATTGTGTAAAAGCCTCCGTTTTTATGAAGGAGAGGTAAATTTCGGGTAGGAAAGGGTTATTTTGAAAAAAGAACGGGTTTGTGGGGCACCTTGATTTTCTCACTTGACCTCAGAGTCTGCAAACATGTGGTCTTTATTAGTTGTGTTTATAAGGCCGTCCATTGGACGCATTAAATGTTGTCCCAAGCGAAGCTGTTCGCTTAGTCTAAGGACATTCAGAGCCTCGGTGATCTGAGATGCGCTACCACACGCAGATGACTGTGACGGTCGGGTCTCCTCCACGAAGACAGATTTTGGAACTCAATCAGTCCTTATTATTATTTCTGTAAAACAGTGCCGCAATAAATTTGTTGAATCTCATTCATTCCATACAATAGTTGCTCAAAGGGATCAGAAGTATCAACTCACCTCCAATTCAACTTACATTTTTAATTTCTTCACTTACTTCAATTTTAAGAACTGGCGTGGCTGATCCTGCATAATCGAGGCGAAAGTGTTCCCATGCCTTCTCACTCTGATGTAGCCTTGGTTGTGGCTATTTTGCGCCCCACTGAGCCGTGATAAATGCCCTTCTTGACTGGTAAGCTGCAATTTTTTGTGGGTGGGAAAACGGCGTTAGACGGAGGGTAAAATGCTCTGTAAGAAGCCTTGAAATTTAGCCGCTCTCATTGGGTGAATGGAGTGTCTCTCCACTTCCTCCCTTTTAAACGACGGCAAAGTCGAACGATCTAACTCTCGGAGTCAGCTTTTTCCCCATATTGAATGGTTGAGCAGAATGTACAAAGTTCAGAGTCCCTGGGAACCATTTGCATATTTAATTTCTTCAATACCTCTCTTTCGTGTGCATAACTGTGCGAGAAAGGTGGGCATTCATTGTGTAAAGAAGTGAGCTGATATACTGGGGAAAACATAGACGGAGAGAGGGGGAGCTGAGGGAGGATGCTAATTTCTGGCCCAAGGGAAAAATACCATGCCAATTTTTTACGCTGATGAGGTAGTGCAGTGGACGTCTGATAAATGCCAAGTATGGTGCCTTGGTAGATTTACTCCAGCTTTTGTAATAAAACCAGTGACTAAGCTGCCCAACTTTAGTCTTCTCCTTGTTGTTGATTTTTCCGTCTTAAGTACGTTTTCCACTCACGTCTTTGGAGAGACTGCAATGAATCAAGTGAATGCAATTGTGTAAAGTTCCTTTGTCAACAGTAGGATTTTAACGATCAATCAAGTGAATTGCCGTCTTTTAGATTAGGTGGTGAATTTTGAGGATAATCCGCCACCGAGGAGCACATTAGTAAATTAATTTCTCCTTTTTCTCGGTCTACTGTTGGAGATTTGTGGCGCTTTGAGAGGACCTCAACTTTTCCTTGTAAATGTTCTCACAGCCTGTTATTGAAGGCTCAGTGACCGATTTCACCAGCCACTAATGACTACAACAGTTGAGGAAGTACAGTGACGCCCTTGTGTAGTAGTTTTCGACTTCATCGGTGTGCTCCTCGAACAATCGGAATCAAATGCTTCTAGGCTAAACGCGATCCACTTTTAACTTAAATGGTTTGCATTCAAGGCGATAAAATTTCAGGCGTGGACAGAAATCTGCCTCTCCATCAGCCCCACCTCGTAAGGAAAGCGATTTGTACTCCCTTCCTTTTTCCGTTTTGTCTAAGGAGTAAACTTTACGCAGTTTTCTGTGGCTCGCACTCTCAAGGAGTAATGCGTTTTCTTTCCCTCCTGTCCGTTCCACTTTTGATTGCTGCATACGTAAATCGTTCAAGACATTGCCCCATTCGAGGTTGACTCGCTCGGGCCTACCCCTTCTGCTGACATAAAAATCAAGTATGAAACGGAAAAGTTTATTAATTTTGGTTTACTTTTAAGCGTTGCTTCACAGATGGGAAATTTTGCGGCAAAATTCAAGCAATGAATAAAGAGAGGATGAAATACGCAGTGCAAAGCCTCCTTGCCTGTGTAAATTAATCAGATAGGGGAACATTTCATCAAGGAGGATCTCCTCAGCTCCTCATACTTTACTTTTTTGGATAGTTAGAAGATAGTGGTCCCTTGAAGAAATACACATTTAGTTGATAAAAATCGAAGGTAAGGAAGAAGATCCTTTTTCGCAACTTGTATCTGTTTTGTCAGTGTTCGAGATGGAAGACCGAAGTTGCATTGTCTTTGAACATCTGGAGGAGAACTGTGCCCAAACGGCGTGTGGTGGGTGCGCACAGCAGCAAACGGGACTAGTGGGTGTCCACATCCTAGTAACTTACCTGTCCAATCACAAATCAGCAAATGGGACTTTACAATTTAGGCATTTGCGATTACTTTTTTGCATTTATTCATGCCTTCCGTGGCCACTTTTCTGAACCCTATAACTCAGGAGTGAAGTTTACGACTTCTTTCCTATTTGTCCCATTTCTCACCTTAACAGCGTTTTTTGACAGTGTTTTGTCAAATCATCGTACAAAATCATTTCCACCTTGGGAGACCTAAGGGACCTCATCATATTTGTCGATTCCCTTTTAAAGATCCACTAACGAGCGGTCTGGAACTTTCGCTCTTTGGATGGGTGGTGAAATCCGCATTCACTTACTACAGACGGCAAATGTCGGGCAATAAATTTTGTTCGGGTTAGTAAACGCAATAAAATGTGGCAATTATTCTAGAAGGTCAGAATTAACTTGAAATCGGGTGATTACTGTCTGCATCACATGTAAAAAATGTCCTTTTGAGGGATGTGCACACGAATTTACCAAACACTTGAATGCCTTGAATGTGGTGTCGCCTTACTCAACGTTGTTCATATTGCCAGTTACAAATGGAAGATATTTCTTATGGAGTTTGATGGCCACTGTTTGCCGCCTGTTTTCTGGTTATGCAGAAATGGTTGCAGTCATGAAAAGGCTCAACTTAAGACTTTAAATGCCTCGGATGCTGACCAACCGCGGTGGTCCAGATGTTTAACTGTTCGAGTCTGAACTAAAAACCCCACCACCAAATCTTTATTCAAAGGCAAAAAATAAACTTAATATCTGCGATCCAATGAAAGATCTGGAATAATGACTGTCTCATCTAGGCAAATGTCACGTGTCACTTATTTGTGGTACCCAGTCCACATAGTGCTTTGTCTCACTGGAACAGGAAAGCGACACTCTTCTCCTCATATCCTTCTATTTAGTATCAGCTTCTAAACTTGCCTTGAAACTTCCTGTTAATAAAGCTGCGCTTCAGCCGGTAATAGAAATTCTGGAATCTGCGTCACTAACTGCAACTATGTGGCTTCTTATGGATAATAAATAGAGCAGAAAAGAGGTTGATGGGGAGAAAAAGGTGCCTAAGCCAGACCTGGAATATCCTCATGTCCTGTGCATGCGTTAGGGTGCGGCTCTGCACAGGTTGATGAACAGTGACTCATTCTGGCCTAGATTCATTCAGCAGCCCAGAAAGTATCAAATCGAGGAGGGGGCTGACTAGGCGGCCATCGTGGTAATGCAACGCGTACCCCAGTGCCTGTTTGTCGCCTTCTCTCTATGTAGGAACACGATTTCAATAGCCTTTCTAAGTTTGCCTTACATCGTAAAACATCACCCATGCCTAATAGCTGATAGCACCGAATCTACATGGTGAACGGGCGATTAAGGTGAGTGTAGGTTTCAATTAGAAGAGCTTAATCTTTGAGAGGTTTAAACGCTGCTTCCTTATTTTAAAATAGAAAGCGCTTGTGCTTTTGCGCATGGGATACCAAGAGAGAGCAAAGTAATTAAAATGTTGTCAGCACCAATCATTGACACGCCAAAGAGATGAGGTTATTTTTACCTGCCAGATTGCTAGCAATCTAGACAGCTTTCATTTTGGTGCTTCACTACTTCTACGAAATACGCTGGACGCCCACAGAGTTGTTAATCATCCACAAGCATCCAATAACAACTGCCATCAAAGGTCTACAGAGGTTGCACAGCCCTCTTGAGCGGACCTCTGCGTTATGGTCTTGGGGCCTCAAATTCGTCACACACATAGGTTTTATGACCACCAACATTCAGTTATGAGGCCTTCTGTAATAATTGCATAAATTGTTTTTCTATGTTGGCCATCTAGTTAACCTCAAGATTGAAACGGCGATCTATGCCGTGCGGACTTTTGTCTACTTTTCTTGAGGTTGCAAAGTTGCTTCGCTTTCTTTAGTGCTAGAGGAGAATTCAGTACCCCAATCAAAGGGCTCGGTTGACCCTACAAATACTCACTCTCAGGGTTGTCCATGATGCGATTAATATAACTTTGTTTTTTTATGCTTTTTAATAGGAGCGCATCCAGACGTGCTGAAGGCACGAGCCATTGCCACTTTCCGCGATGCTACTTGCAGAAGTCAGTCGCTCTGCTTCAACAAGGGAGACATAATTGGGGTAGGCAAAACATCTCAAAAAGGCATTCGACTTTTATGACTCGCAATAAATCTTTATTATCCGTTATCCACATTACTGTTGCAAGCCGCTTTGTTGACATCCTTAATGAGTCGTTAGACGCCATGCAGTCTTAAGCCATTCAAGTTGGAGAACAAAAGAGGAAAAGACGCAAATGCGATGGCTTATGAAAAGAAAACTCTCTGCAGCATGGCTCGAAAAGGTAAAATCAAAATGACTGCTGCAAGCTTAGGCACTTTACTGTGTCCTTCATGACATTTCGATCACTATTTGACCAGCTGAAATTAATAATGTTTGGCATGCTAGAACACTATTTGCTGTGTTCAAAAACTCCAATTCTAATCTTCGAAGCTAGAAACTTTCAAAATCTGTCTCGAGATAGGTGTATCTGAGTAATTTCACTGCTATCAATGAGACTGAACGAAAACGCTTTGATCATACTTGTCACAGCAACTGGAGAAACGTCCACTTCGATTGATCCCACATTAGCCATTCTCTTTAACGGTGACAACTGACAGGCATGCGTTTTCGTCTCCTCCTTCTTCTTCCACAGGTGTTCGCTGACTCCATAACCTCGAAGGAGGACGCAGCGTGGTGGCGTGGTTTTCGCTTTGCCAGCGGTCCCTCAGGAGGTATCGGGATGTTTCCCAGTTCTCATGTCACCCTTCTACCACTGCACCCGCCTCCTCCACCATCCACACAGAATGAGAGACAGAAGAAGAAAACGGACTTTTCTGTGAGTTTTATTGGAGCTCAATTTAGCTAAACTGCTCCACACGACCACGAGCTCGCCGGAGATTTACACTTGCAGAGTGAGACTTTAAGTAGTTTATGGGAAGAAAACCCCCTTTGACAGGCAATCTGACAAGTTTATTTTATTAAAAGCTAATTTTACTTTTTTGGGTCAAATGTGTTCTAATCACCAAAAATTTATGACCTTGCCGACATTTCCTGTGGTCATTAGCAGAGTAATAACCGTTAAGTTTAAAATGTGTTTCCAATGTTTCCTATTTCAAACGCTCTTTGTACTTTCTTTAAAATTAATTAACTATCTGTGCTTGTTCTTCGAAGACTGACCGGTGCCTGCGCATTTTTGGATCGGTTTACTCCTTACTTCTTCCAGCTACCAAGAAGTTACTTTCCACTGTGCCTTTCGAACCCACATTGTGTATATTATGTAAATAGTTAAAATTTTCCGCAATTTGTCCGTTGGAAAATGCGATAGCAACGGCAATAAGAGTTGAGTGTAATGAGGTTCAAATCTCTGCCTCCCCTTAATTATATTTTCCTCATCCGCGGCTCTGGCTCCCCCATGTCTAGACTAGCTGCTGATGTCTACATTTTAAAATACCTCACCTCACCTCTTCTTTGGCCTCTTGTTACCCAAAAAATGGTTTTAAACGCTTTTTGTGAAGAGCTAGACAAAAACATTAATTTTTTTGCATGAATTTATTACAACGACAGGCGTTGAGAGCTTCCTGCAGACAGCCTTCCTGGTTTGCAAGGCAAACTAACCTTTATGTCGAATGTCATTCACGGTTTATTGTTGGCCTTTTTTATCGATAAAAATTGCAGGTTCTAACTAGATACTCCACAGTCGGTTGTATCGCAGTAGGTGAAGGATTTAACAATTCTTTCTTTATAATCGTGCCTCGTCCTCCATTTTTATTTTATCGGCGGGAGGAGAGGAGACAGTACATCGAGGAAAGAGTTTCGGGTTGAGAAAAGCCTCGATTAATGTCAGGCAAAAATGCTGCTAAAAATAATGTGGCATAGTAACATTGCTGTATTACATGGAGCGGAGTAAGAAATGGAATGTGAAGAAGGCAGTCACTGACTGACCATCAACGTTGTTAAAGATGTTTATTGTAGTATCCATTGCCATGTCACGATTTCCGAGGAGGAAGTTGCCTTGCTAATGACATTCCTGAAAGAGCCAGTTTACAAAACCTACTTTTTGTCAAATGCTGTGCCACAAGGAACACGAGCTGTCATGACTCTCCATGACTTCTTTTGGTTACCCTAAGTCTCACCAATGGTTTCAAAAATCTTACCATAAACGTGAAATCTGAACTGAATCAAGGCAGCTAATCAGCTGCAAGTTTAAAAGGAAGAAGTTTTGCGAAAAGTAATGCAGTTGGACAAAGGCCGAAAGTCGGTTCTACCAAAAATTAGATTTCGATAACGTCGAAGGAGACTAAAAGAAGTTCAGCCTCACAGAGGGATGAACAATTGACTTCAGATGCCTTAGAGAGAAATAAAAGGCGCTACCATGCATTGCCCTGCATAATATGGGCCACCTAATCCATTTTTAGACTCAAACTGATGTTACATCGAGTTCTTCCTCCTCCACTGAAGACGATGGAGAAGATGATGAAAAAGGTGCACCTTTGGTACATCAAGATGCATCTACCATTGCCAATGATAACGGAGAAGTCGGGAAAGTTGTGAACGAAATGGCAAACCTAGCAAACGCTGAGCTTCCCGTACCGTTACGATCGTCGGTCGTAGGAAGACAAAGCTCCACATCCTCTTCTCCTTCCATAACGACAATGAATGCCTCCACACTGACGTCTGGACATTCAAACATCCTGATGGATTCAAGCAATCGAAACAGCGCAACCAGTTTGGACAGTGGACGCGGTTCTGCTTATGCCACGAGCTCTGAAGGATCCAAAATGGTGACGCTTGTTTAAAGTCATTTTATAGAGTTTTTCTAGGGTTTTATCCCCGGTTCCTCACTCCCATAGAAACTGTCGACTATTCTAACTGGCGAGTTGCCTTAAGAAGTGGCCGACAAAATGACCTCCTATGTGCCTCAAGTGCAGGGAAGAGATTGATGTGGCAACAAAACTCGTCTTCAACTTGCAGCAAGACCCAAAAGCAGTTTTGTATAAACTTGAGTCAAAATAGTTTTCACAGTACCCTCCAACAAATTAAGTGCAATTGATAGTTAGGACTTAGTAAACTCAGATCTTTTAAAATAGAAACTCTTGCATCGACCGTTTGCGAAACTCCGCTTAGCTTCATTACTTTTTTCTCAAAATCCGACTAAAATCACGCTTTTTCGTCGACTGGATATTTACAGAGGAGTGCACAGACCTTTGTTTTAATTTATTGGCTAAAATGCGACACCATCGACCAAACACAGAAACCTTGTTTCTACGAAAGCCGTTTTAAGCTGTTATGGAGTGCCTTGTCGACCATCCACAAATTATTTCACCGTCGTTTGTTTGTCCCTCTTTCCTCCATTTTTTCCCAATTTTTGAAATGTTTTCAGCAAGACTGCCATTGGCAACACTACGAATAAGTTGACAAACTTATATATGGATTCTTTCGGTCACTGTGGTACTAAAGCAATGTGTAACTCTTAAATAATTAGGAAAAAATCATCAAAAAATTATATTTTTAGCTTGATAATTCGTAAACTTGAGAAAAGACAAATGAGTTATCTCTGTTACTTTGAAATGGACGTTGTAAACGAGTAGCGGATTCGTTGATTAAAAAGCACATCAATCCAAATATTTCGTCCGTTGGTACAAGAAGCTGGAAATTCTTCAAGGGTGGATCAGTGCATGCTCATTTGTCACGATGCATTTTCGCCAATTCTTGAGTTGTTTCTTTAATATACGAAGTAGTGCAAACAAGCCGTATCCAAAATACTAATGATCTCGGAGCTACTTCGGGAAGTCCCTTTCTCATAGGAGAAAGAAAAGTGGAAGGAATGAAAGAAGCAAAAAATGCCCTTCTTAAAGGTTAGATTGTTGTGTTAGTGAACCCAACAAAGCTGCTTATGTAAGTGAGAAAATCGACTTTATGCAGATTTCACTGCGTTGATCTCCTTGTGAATTGATCAGACCGCTTGAACGCATTTAAATGGCTTAAAAAAGTCCTGTTCAGGCGTTTAATTTGTGCCGAAGTTGGTACGATTTTGTGACGTCTTATCGTGTTGTTCATCAATCACTCGATGTGCTGATCCTTCATGCACCAAGTCACCCAACCACTTAAGAAAAGCAAAAGTAAAGATTAGATGAATGTAAAGAAACTTTTGCTAATATATTGGTTGCACTACTACTAATGCTTAAAAGTATTAATTTGACTTGGCTGATCTAAGCCTATTCCGTAAAAGGACCTAAAGGTTTGTCAATCAAAGAATAATTCCATGCAACCATTTTAATAAATCCATTCACCAATAGGAGGACTCCGTTAGTGAGTGTTGACCTTGGCAAACCAATCGTGAATGAGCCATTAAACGGCTATTTCTTACCTTTATGGCTTTAATTTTTGAGAAATAAGTACGCATTTCTCTAAAGACAAAAGAGAACATAATACTTAAGTAGAACATGGGCGCTCAAAGAACAAAAAGGCGTAGTTGAAGTCAAATATGCTATCCCAGTGTCCAGAACTATAATAAAAAACAAGCATACCACAAACCCCACCACAGCAATCTGCTAGCGCCTTCACAACTGGGATTTTTTATGTGGTTCTTCTTAATTCTCGGTTTTAGACGCTTCGGAGTTATGATCTCCAAATCTCCTTTTATAAAATTTGTCCAATTTGTGTGAAGTCACACTCTCACCTAATGCATTTTATGTTTCGTTCTCACCACCTGCAAACATTTTCTGACAAAGTTTGTCAAGTTCCTGTAGATTAATGCGAGCTTCTGGGTCAAGTTTCACAAAATCAACAATAAAATCTTTTACTTTGCTATTATTTTTATAGCCCAACAAACGCACTCTGTAATTCAAAAAGAATTCGGATTAATGCTTACAATGAGAAACCGGTAAAGAGGGGATTGAAACGCGGAAAGTTCCAAGCCTATGTGATTGACTATGTCGGCAACGAAATTCTCTTTCCCTTTTGAATCCTCGTTCCTGTCAAGGGTTGACTTTGCAACGTTTTGCATGGCCGTCCTTGGGTCAGTGGTGCAGGCCTCGTGAGTGGTTTGAGGCTCACCCATTGGATCACGAATAAGGGCCATTCAATCCTTCACCCTTGTAATCTTCAAGACAAAAACTCAATGTGAAGACGATTGTGAGGATTCATCGACTCTATAACCTCTAAGCAATTTGTAGATCGACAAGGACCTTAAGCACTTTTACTAAAAAACACTCAAATTCATCACAATGCCTGTTTTCCCTTTGGCGCTCTGTCTGCCTGGACTCTGTATACGAACTTTAAGGTCTAGAACAATTGAATAGCCTGTTCAAGAGGCACTCCACCATATCAGACTGTTGAAAGGATAGTACTTTGACACAACTTAAGTCGTGCTTTGTTCCCTCACCGTTGGAGCACATCTGGCATTTTGTGAAAGTGTGTGTGCGTGTTGGCACATTGGATGAATTTACAACTACGATGAATAAGCTACAATTGCTGATTTTGTTCTTTTTCGGTGGTACGTTTTTTTCTCCCTGACACAGTTTATCGCTTACACATTAGGCTTTTTTTGCCGCACTATGAGAGAGAGAGGGAGAAGGAACACTGGAACTGATGCATGTCTGAACGTCTGTCAGCTCGTTTTTTTAAAGGCAGGAAGAACAGAGCATAGTGTCCGAGAGGATTTGGCGAGTAGCGAAAATTAATTGAGTCGGAGGGCATGAGAGGAGTTTTGTGAAATCTGCAATTGTTGTCCTCCAAATGTGTTTTGACAATTAGCCATAAAGGATGCTTCTCAGACATTGTACAGCACCACTTCTTTCAATTCTCTAATGATGAAATGAAGGCTGTTGCATAGATGGTGGCTGAATGCTGGCAGCAAAGGAGGTTGATGGCACCTCCTGAATTAAGGCAAATACAGAAATGAAATTTCCAAGTATTGGCCTGGCTTACTTTATTTAAATCCATCTTTACAGACTTTGCCAACAAACGTGTTCTGCTTTTGTCAGCAGTGCTGCTGAAATCATTTATTCTTCATGAACCAGTTTTAAAGTTCATTCCTCGTTTCTGGTCATCAGAGCTTCCATCGCCTTTGCTCTCACGAAATACAGTCTTGCCTCAAGTTCTACTTTAATGCACGCCAACATTTCAAAGTCAAGAAGAACACCGGCGTACTCAGCTGTCTCGCTTCTTAACCTCAATTTTTCCTCTGTTCAGTTATGCAGTTGTTTTAACAGTGTAGAGCGAATAAGGAAATGAGAAGGGAGTGGGGAATAAGAGGGAGATGGATGCGATAAAGGTTGTGTATTATTTCATGTTTCTACTACAGTCCAATAAGCTTCGTTTATTAAGGAGTTTTACTTCGTTGATTGTCTGCGAATTTCACGAAGGAAACTTTTAACGCATATTTCCAGCAGTTTAGCTTGGCTCTGAAGAAGATTGCATTTTGACACCCTCAAATGATACGGATTCATCCGAATCTGTGATTCTGCCTTTAGCGAATGGAGAATGGAGTCTGCGATCCACTGTGTTCACACAAAGCAAGAAGAGTGTTGTGTATAAGATGGATGCGTGCCTCGGTCGCGGGATTGTGCGGTGATCTGTCTGTTAAGCATTATAGTTGCGACTTATTAGCCACTGATGTTTCCCGCCAATGGATTTGTGGAGTTGAGTCCAAACGTCACCTTCAACCACATCTTTTCGCTCGGTTTTCAAGCCACCATAAATTCTCCTAGCGCCGCCACAACGCATGCATAAATCGAGAGAAAGGTGCAGTTATTCCCTACGGTATATAAATAACATACCATCTTCACAAACGTTTAAAGTGCCAGGCCGAACTTAGATTGGTGATTGCTTATCAGGAATGGAGGTTCTTTCCTTCTTTACAGGAGAAGATTCGTTTGACCTACCCTGCGTCATCATTTCAAATTGTTCTAGTAACCTATAAACTTTTAATTTGTTTGTCCTACATTCCTCCAAACTTCCTAGTTTGTCAAATTTAGTAATATTTATTCTCTCAGATTTCGGAAGGTATCCCAGTGACATTTCCGCACTCCCACCAACACCTTCAACGAGTTTGCCCTACCATACCGCTGTCCATGAATTCTCGCGTTCCTCCACCCTGTTTCCACCGAATGACATCCGTTACTTCTGCTTCCACCACCACCACCACTACTACCACCACCAACACCACCCTTAGTCATCCCAGAGGAGGATACCGTGCAGCTTCAGTGCAGCCATGTGCCTCTTCTACCTGTTCTTCCACCTCCTCTGCCTCGTCTGCCTCATCGGGTGCGTCCTCTTGCAGCTCCTGTGCCGCAGCCACCGTATCCTCCGTAGCCGGTGTCACCAGCAGCTGCGATCGATCCCCAGTCGAGCTGCTCGTGAATTGGTTGCTCTCAGCAGGATTCTCAGAGTAAGTAGATCTCGTTTTGGAGAGATGGGAGAATTAATATTCTGCGCATAGTTGAAAGGACATAAATAAACAAACTGTCGTTAATGGCAAGATTTCAAATTCGTTCATTTAGCCTTTCCATATGTCCATTAATGCCCTTGTTCATTTCTGCTCGCTTCGTACTTGTATATGATCTTGTTAGACAAATTTTTCCCATCCATCCATTTATCAACCCTCAAGAATATGGTTTCCTTTTTAAATTTATTCACTCGTCCATTCTCTTTCCTTAACCGATGATCATAATTTTATTCATTCTTTTATCCATCCACTTTATCAGTAGCTAGCATTTCTATCAGCTTTGATTAAGGAATTCGTGAGTGGAAGACTTTGGGGAACTGCAGCGATGTAGGTACACCTGCACAAAACAGTTTTGAGCCATTTGGAAAGGCTTTGTTGAGTAGACGATTTGAGATCAAATATCATCTGAGCATTAACTGAGGGCACTGCGTAAATTATTAGCTTGGCGCTTCGTTAATTCTAATCCCTACTCCTGCACACTGATTTGGAAAATCGGTTAAGCGAGGAATGTCTTTGCACTGAAAAGTGGCCCTTCTCTGCCAATCACTTCACTGCTTAAATCAATTCCCAGCTACACTCCGTGCCTTGTTGCTGCGGGCTACGATTTGAGCACACTGCGACGCGCAACGCCAGAGGACTTGAACGCTTGCGGAGTTACAAATCCCAGGGACCGACAACAGCTGAGAGCACGTCTGAGCCGACTTCAGCTCCCTGAAAATCTTCCTGATCACATCCCGGTGAGGTGCTTTGGTGTAAATAGGTCCTCTAAGACATGCGTTTTGAAGCATTGAGAAAATAGAGAATTGAATAAGGGGAAAAAATACGTATCTTAGGGGATGTGACAAGCTTTTACATTAACGTGGATCTCCACTCTATCAACAGACTGAATTTGACGTCAAAGTAGTGCATTGAAATCCCCATCTCCAAAGAGTCCGTTGTCACACTTGTCTGAAACTTTGTTTTGGTCGGAATCTCCGTGCTTTCGCTGCACCAATGCTCGTTTTGGCTTCAATTCCGCAGGTGAAAAGATCAAAATTGAAGACATATGAAAATTTAGTTTGTTCCGCAAATTTTGGCTGCTTAGTAAATTGTGAAAAAGATAATTTGCTGCTTCTCTTCCCCTTCGATCCCTTTGAAGTGGTCCACGTAACGCCGGTGATGAATCGCTGCGTCATTTGATTTGAAGCACGTAACCAATCACAGCTGACCTTTACGTTGCGTGAATTTGGAAAACTTGTTTCATAAAAGGGTTATTGCTCAATCCTTTTTCATAATTTGAAATGATTTGAACGCTGCATTGTAGTTCTCTGTTTTATGTGAATCTAAATAAATTATCAACATCGTGTTTGCAATTTCCAATTTCACTCTTCTCAAATCCCCCTATTTTGGAGAAACTTTTATTGTCAGATGAGTTTAGATATTTTTCATGGGAATGTCATGTTTTGCTAACCACGTTAATACCTTACCTTGGAAGTGATGAGAGAGGCTAAGGCGGTACAACCGCATCTCTCAGCCACCTCACTTGCAGCTTGTTTCTGCGTGATGCGCAAGCCATTTGGGAATGGGAGCCAGCGCATAAAACAGTCGATAAAAGCAGCATTGGTATTCCTTGAAGCTTCCAAATATCGATATCGTGACGTTTTTAATGGCTGACGACGTCAAGGGGATGTATGGTAGAATATTCTAATCAGGCTTGTTGACATCTTGCATAATAAACATCAAAGAAGTCTTACGTTAAGAGAGCTAGGGAGATAACATAACTGAGAAACACCTAGTTCCTCTACCCCTGGATTTTCTAAGTTTCCAGTCCTGTCCAAAGGAAAATCATCCCTTACCCACACTGTGTGCTTAGCGATTTGGGTGGGGTTGAGTAACCACCCACGGGTTAGTCACTGCCCTCGTTGCTGATGTCTCCAACTCGCTTGACACGCTTGAAGCATCTGACAATGCCCAAGTTAAGCATGGTAGAAGTCATTACCAAATCCCAAGAATCTTACAAGTTGGGAAGGAAATGTCAAACTCTTTCCTAGGCGAACGTCAAATCAAGTGTACGTTGAAAAACCTTTTATTCAAAATAGCCTTCGTGGAATCGTTCTGAAATTCAGAGACCTATTTTTACACCTTCACCAATAAAGGAGTTTTTAAGTTTTCAGTGAAAAAGAGGATAATGTCCAATTGCACCACTTGCAGCCCTAACGTCACTTCTTTTGTGCTTTGAAATAATTTATGTCGTGGCTTGCCTATGTCTTTTATGACGACACTAATTTGAATTAGGTTAAAATGAGCAGTGGACACCTCGGTTCGGATTTTCCTGTACATTGTGTACCTTTTAGTGCATTCAGAAGAATTTCCCAAAAATAAACTTAACCTTATCCACCAGCTCACATGATTGTAAAATAGGTTTGTTAATGAAACTATTCGTTCTTCTTGGCTGCTGTATGTCATGCTCATTTAACTCGTGGCTTTGACAACTTTGTAGTGGATGATTATTTAGCCTAAGCCGTCCATCGCACAAGCATGAATGAGGTAAGAGTGCATTGCTGCATTTTTCACAAACAGCTTTTGATTACAGAACTGTTTAGTCAACTGTGAAAGTTAAATTTCTTGTTCTGATCCAATGCTTTGGCATAACGGGAAGGGCGATCGTGGTGCTTCTATATTACAAATGTTGGTTGTTTTTGGAATGGAAAGGACACCGATCTCGCCTTCATGTCTGCTACTGCTACTGCTCCAGTTCATGACTCACCGTGCTTGCGTTCTTTCCTCCCTTTCTGATTAATGTCCACGTTGTGGGCGAAGTGGAGAATGGGAAGGCGAGAGGCAGTAAAAAATTGATCTCTGCGTTAATTATGCTCCCGTTTTCACCACTATCAGGCACGGTATTCGCATTAACCTTCCCAAAACCTCTCATAGGCTTCCTTAACGCAGCACTCAACTGTTAAGAAGGGAAGACTTTTGACAACACCTCGGCTTTCACGTTTTGTGGACTAAAGCACATAAAGCCATTTGAAACGAAACACGTCCACGCTAGAATGGGTGATTGCAAACCTGGAATAACTGAGCCATTACTGGCTGACAGGTCGTAAGGAAATGTAAGCCACTTTTTCGTACACATGGTTAACACGAAGAAGCAAAACGCCTTTTGAAAACACTAAGCATAAGCATCTTTGCGCCCTCGTTTTACGATTTCTTAAAAAAAAAATCGCCTCTAAATAACCCGTGTTTCAGCATTTAAGTGTGAATGCTACCCCCAAGTTAGAAAAGGACTTAGAAACTTAATCAACCGATAGCGTTAATAAAGGTTCTCTTCTGACCTCTCTTTTAGGCCTGTGTGTTTGAGTGGCTGTCAATTCTAAATCTGACTAGTTATTGGCCGGCCTTCCAGACGCAAGGGCTAACTACCTTCGAGAAGATCGTCGTTCTAACATGGGAGGACCTTGAAGAAATCGGCATCACAAAATTAGGCGAGTCCTTAGGCCTGTTTTGCCAATCTATGGTAGTTAATTTGACTTATTGAATCAAACCAGGCATTGCGTGCACATTCCTTGACCTCATGACTTTAACATCAACGTCATAGATACCACTGCCAAATCTTCGTCCTTTAGGTCATCAAAAAAAAATTATTTTGGCCATTGAACGGCTTCGAAGGGCACTGTCAAAACGCAACGAAGATCAGTCAGTAGGAACCGATTCACTCATTCGAAATCGCCAATCACAGCAACAGCAACATCTTTCTTCTCCAAGCCACCCAGGTACTGCCTAGTATTACAATGTTTGGAGAATATGCTGTGTTAACGCGTTCCTACAGATCGCTTACTCTTGCAGTTTTAGGCCGGTTTCATAAAAATGTCTCATTCATTGGCTTGATGTGGGAAGTTAGTGTGTTTTAATGTTGCTCCTCATTCACGGAACGACGATACGGTTGTTGTTGGCATTTGTAGCCAGGCGGAGAGTTTGGCTTATTTTTATGCAACATCTGCATTTCCAATTTTATAGTTTCAGCTTGTAAAACATTAAAGAAAAACTACAAGACAATCCTATCTTGTCATTTCATTCAGCCGCGCAACCTTTACCAATAGAGGAGGAGCGGGAAACGATGATGACAGGAAACCTTGCTGATCTCACGCCACCTCCCCCGCCGGGATTTCAAGATCCTCCCCACGTCGTCCGAAAAGCGTCTCTCGACTTTTCACCATCCAGTGCCATCAACCCGGGCTCACCCGAGCCTAGGCGAATAACTCACCATAGGCATCATTTCTCGACGAGTTTTCTCACTGATATAGGAAGATTAGGTTCCAACGCTCTTTCTAGTGTCAGCGATACAGGGGCCGAGGGGAGCACAAAATCAGATCCTCTGCCAAGGGTAGGGGCATGTGAAGGAGAAGAAGTCGAAGCAGGAGGAATAACAGAAGAAGAAAAGGATTCCAAAAGCCATCCGAAAGGGGTTCAACAGTCTTATGGAGAGAGCTTTCCGTCTGTCAGGCAGCGGCATCGAAATGCTGTCGCGACCGCAATCACCATTCCTGGTAAGAAAATCCTAATGGCATAAAGTATTCCTCTGACAATGTTTTAAATGAGTACTTGCGTATGACAGGTGGGAAGGAATGTTTTTCTTGCAACACAATGGGAATTGTTTAAAATTCAGCTGATGTGCCCTGGAATAAAAATTAGGTAGAATGGCTGAAATGGGCATTGGCTAATTTAATAGACGTCAAAACATCCACTGAAACGAGGACGCAATGAACAGTTTCGAGAAGAGCTTGTTTGCCACACAGAAAAGCTCTACATGCATAAAAACAACTGAGTATAAATAGCCAGGAAACAATTATTGAGGGTATCACAAATCTAGATACCAGAGATTTTATATGAGCCACTGAATGGGAAATGAGAAGATAGGACAGGTAGAGGAGGTTCACAAATTCCATTAGGACGTTGAATAAGGAGAAGAGATGACTCTCTCAATGGCCATCACACGCACATTCGGAAAATGCCCACCTTCGTCCACCCCTC